CTCTCAGCCGCCAATTTCCTTTGAACGGCATCTGGCACCCTCGTTCGTTTGGGTATTTCTGGAACCCTTATTTCGGTGGATTCCTTGGGCGCTTCCTCCTTTTTCAAGGATTGAGCCTCCGGAGCAATGCTCCCCTTTTCGGTCTTTGTTGACGTGGTTCCTTCTCCACGAGCCATAAATACGTAGGAGTCCAAAATTAATTTATCCGCAGTTTTTGATCCTTTTTACTCTGTAAATACTCTCTATTTAAAGCTATTTTCCTTTGTCGTTCTTTCTCCATATCAGCGACGAGAAAATCATGAATATTAGTACGTAGGGAGTCTGAGATCGTGTATGTATGAGGAGAATCGTTCATATCTTTAATTGAAACAAGTACAGAAAAATGTCCATAGTCCGGACGCTCCACCTCCTTGGCTAGAGGAGTGGAGCGTTTTAAAAACCCTTCTCGCGCAGCTTCTCGGCAATCTCCTTGAGGAACTCGTTGTCCTTGTCCCCGTTCTCGATCTCTTCAAGCATCGTGGCCCGATTGAAGAATGTGCGCTTCTTTCTCGGTTCCGGACAGTTCCGCGCAATGTGCCCAGGCTGCTGACAGTTGTAGCAGATGATATTGCGGCCGCGGGCGTGGGTACGATCGATTTCCATCGGAACCGGTTTGTTGGCAGCGGGTCGGGCCGGAGCGGGTGTGGGCGCCACTGGTGCCGCTTGGGGACGGAACTGGGGAGGTGGTCGTTGTGTGGGGTGTCCATACGACGCTTTGCGCAGCTGGTCACGCAGAGCATTGGCTTCGATGTTGATGCACCAGGCTTTGAACGCTCCATAGGCCTTGGGCAGAGGGACACCGGTGTTGTAGAGACGGCTGGCGATCTCGCTGCTGAGTCCGCGCTCCAGGAACTCGATGAGGATATTATCCTGGTCCCCCTTCTTGTATTCGCCTTTGTCGTCAGTGGTGTCAACCACATTGTAGCCTGCATCCGCGGCCAACATCTCAAAGTCGGAGATGTAGTCCGCGAAGGACCGTTTGTTTTGGCGCAGGGCCATAAGCTGAGCAGCGGCGACTTGTTCCGCATTGGAGTCCCCGAACGCCCTCTGAAGCTCCTCCAGGAAGTTCTTTGATGTGACTCCTGCCTTCAGTCCCTGGAAGCCATCGAAGTTGTGCTGCTTCCAGTTCATCGCCCATCTCGAGGCAGCGCAGCTCGTGCCGTTCTCGTTACGGAGGTAGGAGAGGACAAAGAGGATTTTGGTCTCATCCTGCGAGAACTCCAATCGATAGGCACCGATGTAAGTGGTGCACGCGTCCACAAAGCCCAGGTATTTGGACTTGTCGCCATCAAAGTAGGGGGGGTTGGCGGCGAGGGTGATGCAGTGATGCCCTGACATGGTAGGGGCAGGTGTGTGAGGTGGGGGCAAGGGTGGTTGTTCGGAGGGCAGTTTGTCGAGGTCGGGGATCTCGTCTTCAGGCAGTGGGAGGGCGAGGTAGGGGTTGGAGGGTCCGGGTTGGTTTTGATGCGCCAGATCGGGCGACAATGGTACGATGGGGGGAGGGGACGGACTCCCAGACAACGATGGGAATCGGTACGAAATGGTGGAATCGTGTGCTGTACAAGCACTCGAGGGAGGGTTCTTTTGCTAGCAAAAAGAATGCGCTCTGCACCAGCTCTATAAGGGCGTATTTTTGCGCTTTTTACAGAGTTTACTCTTGAACCACTCGGTGTATCGTGTCGCGGTTAACAGTGTTGCGCTCAGTAGGACTTAAGGGTCTACTGCCCAGTCGACAACTGTGGATAGTGTCAACAATAGCAAGGCATTCAGACCACTACTGTGGAATTGGTCTTATGGGTCTATACCAGGCTCAGGGCTATTAGTGACGGACACTCGGACCGCGACAATTCCCTAAAAGGGATACTTTGTTGCGGCGACTTCTCAAAAGGGTCATTCTCTGCAGATGGGAACTTGGGCTGAAGGGCTTAGCAATGTGCGACGTTCTCAATATTACAACTATTACTGGACAGGGCTTGGCGTTATGAGGTTGAACCAATCTTGTCGCGGCAACTCCCGGTTTTGAGTTGAACGTTTCCTCAGATCGTGCCACGGCGACGACTTGTCACATGTCAGGATCCATTCAATCACGGGACATTGTGGACACGTTGCGGTGACACTTCAAGTGTCACGGCAAGTTGCGCCCATACCCAAACACACAAAAATCGACACGGGCTAGACCCGTGAACCGAACCATGTGAGGAACGCCTGGCGTGCCTAGGGCCATACGGCTTCTTGGGGCGCCCACGTTGGTCTCACTTGCCAAGACATACCCGTTGGCCAATCCAACACGTCATATTCCAAAAGTATGACGTGGTGGGTTGACCCACATCAAAAGTATCATATGGACTATGGGGCGGGGTCCTGATCACTCAGGACCTGTCCGATCGTTCAACTTTTCAATTACTCTAAAAGGCAACCGATCTTAGATAGCGTAGCTACTATGCAGTTGTACAGGACTTTACTAAGCATTGTCGTAGACAGTATAAGTAGCACGTCGTTTCTTTGTATTGGGGAGCTTTCCCCTGGACTGTGAATCACTCTCATTTCAGATTGTTTTGTACAATTTGCGTGCCGCGTGATTCCACCCTAAGAAGTTCTGCCACCCCTGCCCAGTCGCGACAAGTTGCTCCCTGAGCACTTGTAGCTACTGTGATTTGAGTTTTAGTTGAGATACCAGAAAAGTCGGATTCGCTGCATCTGGTTTAGTCGCGGCATTTAGTGTCGTCGCCTTTGGGCTTTGTTGAGATCGCTTCCACACCTCTAGTTTGGCAGTGCGTTGACTAGTTGTGCTCGGGTTGTTTTGGTCAGTTGGCAGTGCATCAACTTGAAAACTTTGGTTCCACACTTCTTGCTTGGCAGTGCGTCAACAAGTTGTGCTTGGGTTTTGGACATTGGATATTGGCTGTCAGTTGGCAGTGCGTCGACGCGGCATTTTGGTTTACTAGTTGGCAGTGCGTCAACTCAGTGCTTTGGTTGTGTCAGTTGGCAGTGCGTCGACTTGATATTTAGGCTTTGCATTGCCATCTGGACGCTGTCGCTACAAGGGATCTTAATACTTCGTATTAAGCTCTGACTTGTGATATTGTTGGTTGTGGTTGGATTAGTGTTGGTTTTGTTCATATAGAAGATATTGGTTGAGACACCACTGTTTGCTATATATAAATTCTTGTTGTCGACTTTGTCTTCCGCAACTATTGGATCTGCGTCTATTGAGAGTTGTGATACTGGTGTTCTGTCCACCCCGAAGCCCTCGCATCTTTCACACACTGAGAAGCTGATTACAAGGAGTGTGAACGTGTTTATATTTGGGTTTACTTCCATAGTAGATTCACCTGTGAGCGCGCCCTCAGCATTTCAACGCGCCATCGAATCCAAGCACTCAGAGAGGCCATGCTCCATTATCCTCAATGCTCTCCTTGCCTGTTGATCTCACTTGCTTCCACTCCATTAGTGCGTTGACAAGCCTTGGCATATGGCGAGTCCATGAGTTGATCATCTGCTGTACTCGGTTATTCCAAAGACATGGGTCGCCACAGCTGTAACGAGGAAGTGAGTGAGTAAGAAAGAAAGAAAGATAATGTGAGGACGCACCTGGGACGCATGCCAGTGGTCATTGTGTCGAAAATCACCTCTGCACCCGCATGGCTATGCAACGAGCCCTCCTCACCCGGCAGCAGTATGTGATAGAGCAGGCCGTCATATGTATCCTCCCAGTCATCCAGCTCCTCGCCCTCGTATGCGTTGAGCATATCAACATCCTCGGTACTTCCGCTCCCCATGATCTCCTCCCGCTGCACATAGCTCAGGGCTGGAGCCGTACCTGTCGGCTTGAATTGGGAGAAGAGCAAACGGACGTACCTTGCAGCTGCTCCTGATAGAGACTCTTTGCTGCCTCCAGCTGCTTTGCAGTCCTGTTGATGGGTATGGTCTTCTTTCTGGCGACAGCCTGTGGACGGAGGCCCTGGCCATAGATGACCTTGTTGCTCTTTGAGAGACCACCATGCGGAGCCATTGAGGAGGAGCAAGGAAGAGGTGGAGGAAGGGCGGAGCAATCATGCAGGATGTGGTGGAAAGAAAAGGGGTGTGCTTACCACGTCATGTATCCGCTTAGCTGGCTTTGCGCTAGCTACGTCTCGCTCCTCACTGAATTGAGTAGTAGAAAAGAAAATCCATTTATATCCTGTGCAACGTTGTATAGAAGAACGGTGAGAGTCGGATATACTGTGTGAGATGGTCCCGGCGCATATGGGTGTGCAGAATGTAAGACTGCGGAATGTAGGACTATGCCCATCAAACGACTCTGGGAGGGTGCGTAGACGAAGCGCAGTGCTCTGAGCCCGTTCCAAGTGAATGCGTCATTGGCGGCGGCGGCAGGAGTGTGACATGTGAGACTGTCGGGGAGCCTCAGGAATAGTCGGGGGTAATGGAGGTAACGGGAGGTCGGGCAGGTGGTTGCCAGAATGCACATGTGCTGGGCAGTGACGCAAGTGCTTGCGCTGAGCGCTCTAAGTCATTTGGTGGAGAGGTTGCGAAGGGTATTATTGGAGGGTATGAGCCAAAGGAGTACCAATCAGTTGGCACGTCACCATCTAATCACGCGGACCTATCACTTACTATATTAGGGCAGGGCAGGTGCAGACCAGCGGCGGATCATTGGTGGATCATCCGCTGATACATTTTCCTAACTGCGATATCTGTGATATCAGTCCGGCCCGAATACGGGCCGCAATAGTACTAATATTATAGCTGCCTATTGCAAACTTTTTTTTAGCTCATATTGCGGTCCAAAACGTGGCTGATTATATTGCCACTTTTTGCTACCCCATAAGCGGCTCTGATATTCAACAAATGTTTTATATGAATGAGTTGAATAAAATGGGCTACAATATGTCAAGTATCTGGAAATACATTTTATGCTCCAATAGTTGACAAAACAGGAACTCTTTATGATGACATTATAGATTAGATTTCAATTACACTATTTACGACATTTTTGTATGGTACGATATCTACCATATAAATCATTCTTTATGCCTCCTCATATTTGTGATCCGCCAGAGTGATGGCACCCCAGCCGACGGAACAAAGCCCAGCTCGAGGACGAACGCAATCAGTGCCCGCTCGAGTTGCTTGCTGGGCCACCCGGTCTCGGTCCCCTGTGCCGCGAGGCCCCAGGAATCAAACGCTAGCCCCCCGACCTTGTCCACGCTCCCGGAACCGAGTGCAAGAATGGCTCGATTTGAGCGAATCCTCCGGAAGGCATTTCACGAACCTGCGGTATACTTGTAGCCAGCTCAGGACCGGAGAAGAGTGGAGCCGGAGCTGGTTGGACGACGCAATCCTTTACCTTCCGGATGAACGGACCTGGGTGAAAATGTGCTTATGGGCCTGCGCGGAAGGGGTTCGGACAATCGAGGATCTGCTCGAGATGGCCATCGAACGCTGTGTAGCGTTCCGTCTGCTCCTGCCGGAGAATCAGATTGCCAGGTATCGGGGAGGCGGGCTGAGGACCGTGGACGAACAGCGCTGAGGACCCTCTACCTAAACCCCACGGACAATCTCGCATTTCCTTCGACACGGGCGGCACCCAGTATGCCTGGAACTACCTAGCCAAAATCCGCGAACTTCTCGCTCTTCCCCACGCCCAAGGTTTCGTGATGCGGGGAGGGGTTGTGGCCTGGCTCGCAGCACGTTTTGGAAGGCAACGAGGACGGTCGGTGGTCGGAGATTTTATGCGAGGCCCCTCTATCCAAAGCACCGCTTTCCAAGCGGGGTTCAAGGACTTGGAAGGCGACGACGCGACATTCGCCGTCTGTGACCGCGCGTCTGAATCCGAAGTCCGGGCCCTGTTGGGATACTCCGCAGAAACTATTCCCCAAGTCGCGGAGTTCTACGTCTTCCCTCCTATCGCTTGGATCGCCGATGCTTTCCCGTCCTACGATGGGGAGATCTCCGGAGAAGTTCATGAATACCTGGAAAGGGTGGCCGCTCGTCTGGTCGCTGAATCTCCCAGCGCTGAGAGACTTACCAAATCTAGACTCTTGCAGGAAACTCAGAGGCGTGCGGCGTTGGATTGCAAGCACAAGGATTTGACCAGTCCTCGGGGAGCATCCGAAGAAGACTGCCGAACGTTGAAAAACAGGGCCCTCGAGATTTGGTCCGACGATTGGCACCGTTCGGCAGTTAGGGACATCCGGCTGTGAGGAAGACGGCGCTGAAGTGCTTCGCGAGGGATGGATCTGGAATGGGGGGCGCTGTGACACGGGGTGGATTCAACATCCATCCCACACGTACCAAGGAGTTAGCTGTCGACTGTACATTACGTCTAGTAGAGTTCACGCCTGCTTTGAGTCATCCTTGATGACTCACAACAGGCATCAATCAATTCTTGTCTCGAACTGTTTCCGTTTTCTCTTCAGTCTCGTGCGACGTCAACTAGTACTCGACTGGTTCCCCTCGAAGGAGGGCTAATACTCTCCTTCTCCCGGAGAGCTCTGCAGTTGTTTCCTGCCCGTGGCAGAAAGCAGCTGTGGAACGGTCTCTTTGCGAGCGTCTCGCAAAGCGTCCGGTTGCCTCTAGCTACACCTAATTCGCCCTACACTGCGCTCTACTAGCCCATTAATCTCGCCTTGAGGTTCCGCCACGATTATCCAGTGGACTTTCTACTGAGCCGTTACAGTGTGTCTACGACTTTTTAACTCTCTCGGGACTGCCACTGACCATGACAGCCGACTTCTTTGCTCGTGGATCTGCAGGGCGCATATCCACTCCTTCCCTCAGGATGGCCTTTGGGGGCTCTTCTTCCCCAACTCGTCTCTCTTCTCCACCTGATGCAAGACCCATCCATTTTGAAGAAGAGATTGTCGTCGAGTCGGTGGAGGCTGAAGCGATGCAGGGCGTTGAGGATGTGGCAGGGGTCTACAAAGGCCAGGAGGGGACATTGGATCAAGGGCACATCGATAACTTTATTGGTTCGTCCCAGGCTCTGTTCTCAGACCCCATTCAAAGAACAGTTGCTGACGTCAATCTCCTCAGCTTTCGGCGGTGCGGATGCCTCTGCAGACCAAGTCACACCGGCGAGTCATATTGTGGAAACCGCTGCACGGTACTCAGCACCGACATCTGCACTCTCTGAACGGCCACAATACGCTCAGCACGTGCTCTCCGCAGGGTGTGAAGGCCTTGAATCCGCTTGCTCGCCTACTTCTGGCCAAACTGTTCCAGCTCCCCATGTGGACCATTCTGCGGACGCCTCCGCGCTGCAGACTCCGGGTCCTGTACACCCTGCGTTGGCCACCAACGATGCACCGACTCCTCCTCCTTCCGAATCAGCCCTCTCATTCCATTGGCTTGATTCTCTCGTGGAGGACAATGTCACAGACCAGGCGCTGCCCGTACTGGAACGGACTGCGGAGGACTCTGCACCTTCGCTATTCGATATCGTGGGGTCTTCCCGAGCTCTAATGCTCGGAACAATTGGGAAACTTGTTCTCAAATCCCACATTGATCGCATTCTTGATAGCATCCGCGTTGCCGGCGAGGAGACTGGCCTTAGTCCATCCCAGATTCTTCACAACATATCGAATTCTTCCAAGCTTCCCGAACTCCGTACAATTGACAACTGGAACACTTCTGGGCGCATGTACAAGCGCTATCCCTGGTATCACTTTTGCAAGGCTTTCCCCGACGATCCATGCCCAGCAGAACCCCTGAATGACTTGGCTACTTTTCGCGCCTACTACGATACTTTCAAAGAAAACCAGAAGGGGGAGGAGGCTCTGCAGACGTCTCGAGTCTTGGAGGCTCAAATGCTGGAACAGACGAAAGTAGAACGTCGCAAGATCTTTCAGAAAGCTGAAAAGGTCGCAAACAATGTGGTCCATCTTTTGCAGCTTCAACATTCACACTCACTCACGTTCTCTTAGTCCGAAGCTTGCCATCGGATGTATCACATTGAAGGGCAAGATTATCTTTGCGACTCCGTGATCAACGAGGATGGAAGCCTAGGCGCATCGGTCTCTTCTAGGGGCTTCAAGCAATACCCAGTGAGCACACTGTTCTCATTACTCACTGCTCATGAACGCATTTGACAGATCACGGAAGGACTGAGGACTTTGACCCTGGATGAGCTGCACCATCTGGATGAGGACGGCATGCCAGCAGCAGCACGCTCATCAGCGTAGTGAGCACTTGGTCATCATTCATTCTACCCAAGTAATCACTGATTTTTCATCTTAGTGCACTCCTTGAGACTTCTGGCACACAGATGATGAGCTCTTCCGGAGGTCCTCCCGATGCTTTGGTCAGTCTTCTTGCTGATGCCTCTGCCAATCCACTTGCGAATGGTGCAGCCAATCCTGCTGGTGCATCCGCTGTGGCTTCTTTGTCTACAGTGCACCAATTGACGCTACCTGCCCCGGGATTGATGCCCCTGCCTGCGTTGCCCACTGTCAAGGCCTGGAATCCCAATTTAGTCAATCAAACTCGGAGTGCCTTGATTTCTGGTCATCGTCATCTGGTCATCAGCAACATTCGCACCTGCGCCACAATTGACATTGGGAGCGAACCTTTAAGACGGCAGTGTAACAATTTTCCATGGGCGGAAGCAGGTGCTCGCTTCCTCAGCTGTCATTGCCTGCTCAGCGGGCACCCTGCTGCGGTCCGACTTCCAGCGGAGGTCAAGTTGAGGAGAATGGGTGCTAAGGGCTCGGGGGATTGGGACGATGGTAGTCTTGGGGAATTTGACCTCGCATTCAAGGCAAGAGGGCGGACACCCAATGGTCAATGGAATGGAAATGGTCTGGGCTTCCGAAGGCAGGATGTTGTACCCGGTGAGCTTTCTACCTTGTGATACTGCCCATGGGACGGCTCTGACGAAGCTTCCAGGCAGCTTCGTCATCTTCACTCATGACTATCGTTTTGGTCCCAGTGACCCATTGGACCCCGAGGCGGTTCGTAGACACTTTGCATCTTCTGGGGGAGAATTTCTGCCTGCTGAGACCACGAATGGTGAGGTATGGCTGGTCAACTATGACTTCGATCTCCCAAATCCGATCATTGCCAAGAAGGAGCTCATAGAGGACAGCATGAAGGTCTTCCGCGGCCAGGTTAGCCACGGCCCAAAAAAGACAAAGGAAGAAGGGACTCGGAAGGGGAAGAATGGCAGGAAGGGCAAGGGGAAGCAGAAGGCCAAGGCCTCCTCTCATCGCTCGACGTCCGAGTCTGGGTCTGAGTCGGACAGTGATGGGGGGGACCAAAGTCGAGATGGTGACGACGACACCGAGGCAAGCAGTACAGATGACGAGCAGGCCGTGGGAATCACAGCGGTGATGAGGTCCCAGTCCAGTCGGAAAAAAACGGAAGCTGCCACCACGTCGAAGACCAAGACACCCAAGGCAGCGACCACATCGAGCACCCCTGCAGAGGCATCCGCATCGCCGTTGAACACCTCGGCGGCAGCATCCGCATTGACAGGAAAGACTGCCGCAGCAGCATCTGTGACGCAGTCCATAGCTGAATCCGCATTGAAGCCCAAGACGGCCACAACTGCATCCGCGACCGTGCCCGATTCTGGCGCGGCCAAACAAGTTGAAGACACGGCGGACCAACCTTCTGATCACCAGGTGGAGTCTGCTAGTCAGGCAGTGCACCCCAAGCGGAAGGCGGCAATCGTTGCAGGGACCAGATGGGAGAAGCGAGCCCGAATCGATCAGTCCACACTGGGCAGAAAGCGCAAGGCCGAAGAACCAGTGTCCGCGGTGCCGCCCGCCAAGAAGCCCAAGTCCATCCGCCCGAAACGAGCAACGGCCAACAAACAATTCAAGTCCGCTGAAACTGTTCTGAGCGAGGTTGAGGAAGCGGTTGAGGAGGCCAAAAACATGGACAACGAGGACAACGCAAGCAACAAGGAGAAGGCGCAGGGCACGCAAAGCTCAGCGGCCAAAACCCAGGATCAGGACAAAGAGCAAGCCGACAATGCGGGCCCAGCTCCCCCGAATTTGCGCCGTTCAGCCCGAGAGAGACACCCGCCGCCCTCCAAGCAAATTGGCGGTGGGCCACAGGATGCCGAGCCAAGGCCATCAGACTCATGGCCACCGGTCAAAGAGCATGAAATCTTCCCACTGACGAGGAAACAGTTGGATTTCTTGAAGTCTTTGGAGAGCAAGCTCAAGACGACTATTTATGTGGTCCAGAAGTCACCCTCTGGTTGCCAGCACCTCTCTAGCATCAGACTTGGGCAGAAAATAGTGGGGTGGTGTTTCGGGTCTCTGGTTCATCCTAGCCCGCAGTACCTGCTCTTCAGTGATTCACACAGGGAGGAGGCTGCGCAGCCGGTGCCTTCAGGCTCACGGAGCAATTCACAACCAGCTTTGTCGAGCCAGTATCACGCTGCAAAGCTTTCATAAATCGCGCGAGTTTTTTCAAAACCTGGAAAATTCTGATAAAAGACATGCTTAGGAGTAATAAGCGAAGAGTGATCAGGGAGACATCTGTCCAATCTCGAACACTGAAGGCCATATGAGCAGATTATCGGGAGGAAGCTTCAAGAAACGCACCTGCGTGTCCACCACTCTCTGCTGCAGTAGGTCGGGTAGAGGGCCTCTTAAGTAAGGCATGCCGCGTGCTTGTCAAGCCCCATGGTCGGGTCTCCGGACATCATGCGTTGCAGCCTCCTCAAGAGCCCCCCGAGTAGAAGCCCATGGATGGTGAAAGGATGGTCGCGTTGGAGGGGCGCTGGCGCTGAAGGGGCGGTGGGGGGGAAGGGGCAGTCGTGCTGGAAGAGTGGCGGAAGGGCAGCCGCGCTGAAGGGGCGGTGGAAAGGGACCCGCCATCCTGGGAGTTGGAAAGGGACCCGCCGTCCTGGGAGTTGGCTCATGTCGGGTGTGTCGAGTTGACTGAAAGGATGTGGCCTCGCCTCCAGGAGTCGACTGAAGGGATGTGGCCTCGCCTCCAGGATTGGGAGACGATAGGGGTAGGGGCAGCTCCTCGAAAGAGCAGCATTGCCGCCCGCAGACTGGTGACGCGACCAGCCAAACGACGGGTGACGTGGGAGCGTGACAACGCGCTGGAGCCCGAGTTGGCGCGGGCGGAGTCTCAAATCGACGGTGACGAGGCACAGCCCCCGTCCTCCGATCGCGGACGTGTCACCCGAATGAGATTAAGAACAAGGAACAGCAGCAAGCAACGAAAAAAAGGAATGAACAAGCGTGCTTATTTGGGCGGTGGGCCGCATTGAGGTTTAGCATCGCGAGCAGATACAATTGAGCGGCTATTTTCGCCGTAGAACATGGGCGATTCATCGAGAGTGATGATCCCACCCAGGAGCTGGTCAATCCAGTGTATCCTCCCATTCGTCGCTCAAGTCGTGCCTGGGACGATTCATCTGTGATTGCACTATACCTGCGCGTTGGGTCTACCTTACCGGCGTCGAATTTAACATCAGCGCGTGGAACCAAGGACGGGCGTCAATTCTACGCTCAGGACCTCGGTCCTGGAAACCTCGAGATGCTGTCCCGCTTCTTCGCCAAGTATCCCGATTACGCCGACAAGACCTTCCTCTCGGTGAAAGGTGCCGCTGGGATGCAAGGCCCCAACTGCTCGTGGGTATCCAGCGTATCGGCTTCAAAGAGTCTGCTCAGTGACAATTTTTGCAGCGAGGAGAATCTGCGCGCCGAGATGGACAAGATCGCGCGCGCGCTCGGGCCCATCAAGAAGATGGATCTCTTTGAACCCGCTCGCGTCGAAACCCACCGTCCGATCGAAGAGACCATGAAGATCTTGGCTATGCTCGTCAAGGAGGGCCACTTCTCGCACATCGGAATCTCGGAGTGCAACGCAGACACCTTACGCAAAGCCCATGCAGTACGTCTTACCATCCTTGTGTGTGCATATATCTTCATCTTTCGCAGGTGCACCCCATTGCGGCAGTCGAGATCGAGATCAGCCCCTTCTCGTACGACCATAATCAGAAGAACGTGCTCACCGCTGCTGCCGAGCTCGGTATTTCCGTTATTGCCTACTCGTGAGCGGGTCTGCTGCGGCTCATTTCTTTAGAGCTCATCAATACCACCAGGCCTCTCGGACGTGGTCTGATCTCCGGAAAGTAGAAGTCTGCTGCAGATCTTGATGGTACGCTCAGCTGTGCCGCTTGGACCTGACTGTCCTCATCACCTGTCCAGCCGGCGACCTGCGCCAGAACTTCACCCGATTCAAAGACGAAGCCATTCTGAAGCACAACGCAGAGATCGTCGAGCAACTCAATCAAGTGGCGAAGAAGCGCGGGGCCACGACTGCTCAAGTGTCGATTGCCTGGGTTGCAGCCCTGGGCCCAAACGTCATTCCCCTTCCTGGGTCATCGTGAGTCATAAACGAAACATCAAACCCGCTCAGATCGACTGATACTCTTCTCTCAGGAAAGTGTCTCGCACTTTGGAGAACCTCGCAGCTGGCGATATCATATTGACCGAAGAGGAGCTGAAACAGGTGGATGAAATTCTTGCGAAGGGCGTCTTGGGCGATCGGTACTGGGGAACCTCGGACGAGCAGGCACACCTCTGGGGTTGATCCTCTCACCACCGATTCTACATTACCTACTTTGATTTGTTGTAAGCTGTCTCACGAGCAATACACATATGTTCGCAGCTCATTGTCGGGACCGCGTAGTAATTTTTAGTTCGGTGGCATTTTGTCGTCGAACGCGATCTCAGACAGGCTTAAATTACGCGGCAAGGCCACCGACGATACGTCGTCATTTGCAGCAAATGCATGACCGGATTAGAGGCTTGGATGCTCATCGAGTCGATCGTCACCCGGCTCTCGCTCGAACTGCTCACCGCTCGTCTGCGCCCGAGAAGATGATGGACCTTCTGGTCAAAAAGCGACAGAAGACAGGGATCTGTCGTTTCGTCCCGTGATCGCGGCCACGCTTCACCACTGAGATCGAAAATGAGTGTGAAGTTCCTCTTGAAAGGATAAGATCTTGTACGTATCACGTGTTCAACATCCCGCTTCCTAATTTAGAAGCGGACTGACCTGGCTCGCCTGTCCTCACCTGTCAACGAACAAACTTGGGCCGATTCACCGTACAGACGCATCGTATCATTCTGGTTACACCTCAATGTGAATATGACCTCAGTCGATTGCAAGGCATCGAGGCTGATGCGGTGGCCGGAGTCGGGTGTCACAAAAATGAACGAAGATTCCTTCCTGGCCAAAGATCGTGTCGCACAAGCTGTGCGCATATCGTGCGAGCATGGTCTTGAAAGATGAGAGTTGAAACATCAAACGCCTAGCCAGCTCGTCGGGGGGTGAACTTAGTCCCGGTGAGCCGGTGGCTCTCCTCGGGAATGATTGTACATTCAGCATTTGTCAGCATTGCGACGAGCAGATCAATCTCAAAGAACAAGTGCCCCACTCGCATGAAAAAGGCATTCAACCCACTCTTGAGAGCATCGATCCATATAAGCCATCCAGTGAAGAGCTACCAAGGAAGACAATGTGAATTAGTTCAAGTGAAAATGAATGTATCCGCTCGACTGTGATAGGAACGCACCGAAGAACGAGGTCCGCAGAAACAACCTAATGATGCAGTAGTTCACACGAGTAGTCAGGCACTCACACATGTCGACACAGTACAGGGCATAGCGCATGATCCCCTCAGGTGAATCACCACAAAACCTAAAATCACAAGCGGGCGTAGCAGGGTTGCTCCGATCACAGCCAATCGATCAGAAGACAGCAGCATTGCACACAGGCCAGCTTATTGAAACGCCACATGAAAAGTGATGACCACGGGGCAGCCGAAGCTACTGCGCGTCAATCGGCGACATTGGATAGCAGGTGAGAACGAGTATACATGCAGTATGTAGTGATAATAGCACCGTGCCAAGTGGTGAGGGTGGCGATCAGAGACGGCGACCACGGCGACCGCCCTTGCGGCGGGTGCAGTCGGTGGGGACGGGGGTCACGTCCTCGATCCGGCCAATAGCCATGCCAGCACGCGCGAGCGCACGGAGGGCGCTCTGTCCACCGGGCCCAGGGGTCTTGGTTCCCGTTCCGCCGGTGGCGCGGATTTTGACGTGCAGGGCGGTGATGCCGACTTCCTTGCAACGCGTGGCGACGTCCTGGGCAGCCAACATGGCGGCGTAGGGGGAGGACTCGTCACGGTCGGCCTTTACCTTCATTCCACCTGGAGCCAAACCAATTAGATTAACCGCTGTTTTCAAAGGGCTACAGACGCACCGGTAACACGAGCGATGGTCTCCTGGCCAGACAGATCGGTGACATGGACGAAGGTATCGTTGAACGAGGCAAAGATGTGGGCGACACCGAAAACACGCTCGCCTTCTGCGACTTGGGGGCCGAGAGAGACAGCTTCGGCCGGGGCGGCTTTGACTTTTTTGGGAGGCTGTAGGCGGTCGAAACAGCGTGAGTAGATCGTCCGGATGATCAAGCACGAAGACGAACCATGGCGGCGGTGGTCTTGAGGTGCGGAAGAGAACTTGCTTGGAAAGCCAAAAACGCCTGATGCTGACAAAGCGTAAACTAGACAGCCTCACGTGGCCAATCACGATCACGTGGATGCCTCAACTGTCGTGATCGAAATATCACATCGCCTGTCAGGTTTATGTGAGCACATCCGACGTGACGTGACTCGGCGTTTCACTAGTTCTGAACACTTCACCGTTGTTCGACACCAGCCTCCTGGTCATCCTTCCTACAGCACCGCTCCTGCTTATCGCAGCTTAGCGCGCGTGCGGTTGTTTGCGTTTGCGTGCATCCATCATGCCCTACATTTCCTAGCGCTACTGTGCAAACCCCTCAGATACCTCGAGACCCCGATCCCTGCGCCACAGCGCGAAGAGGGCGGCTAGTGCCCCAGTAAGGCCCGAATGTCTTCGGATCTAGGTCCTCCCTATCGAGGCATCGAAGCTGTCATCCCAGCGAGTGAGCGTGGATATGCACAGCCGATGACTGCCTGCCAGTGAGCCCCCTCTTCCTTCCGACTCAGCAATCATGCAAAGCCAAACCGACCCGCAGGCCAGTCGCAGAGCGCCACAGCCTGATACCGAGCGATGGATGGGAGTTCCAAAGGATTTGGATATAGAGAGTACAAATGTACGTGCTGGTTAGGTCATGTATGTAACGTGTAGATAAAGCTCATAAATCACTAAGATCTATAATCTCCTTCGCTGGGAGACGAGGCCTAGGCTCATCCTCCGAGTCGCTAGAAATGTCGATCACAGCGGGCTTGACTAGGGGCCGTCTTGCACCTGGCGTCGGCGAAGCAGCCCGAGAGGCAGTCGGACCCTTCCTTGGCGATGTGTGTTCTTTTGCCTTCCGTGGAGATTTGAGCACTTTCGTCGACAGACGCGAGTCCGAATCGGACGAGTTGGACCGCTGGCGCGCACGTGACCGATCCTGGCCCGCTAACGGGAACAGCCGTGCCGTCTTTGCGGGAACACTAGGTTGACTCGTTGGATCCGACGATCCACTCGTACGTGGGGCGGAGACGGCGTCAAGACGGTTACTCACCCCCAGGACAGCTGACAGGGACCGTACAGGAGCACTCGCCGTTGCTTTGGAGCGAGCCCGAGCATGTGCGAGCGGCATAAAGTCGTTCATCCGCGCTTGTGATTTGCCTCTAGTCAAATCTCGCACGACTCGTAGAGGCGCCGACTGTAAGAATGGGTCGTCGCCGGTCTTGATGATCTTCTTGGCGGGCATTGGTTTGCTGAAAACAGGCAACTGGTCGTCTTCCGAGTCTTCCGAGTCCGAGGGCAAAGTCATTTTGGCTTTCGGGGCCGTCTTGGGTTTGGACGGAGTGCTCGGCCCTGACTCCTCTTCCTCTTCCGGGATAGCCTTGACTTGTTTCTTGATCACTATCCTCGGAACCTCCTCCTCCGTATCTTCTTCCACGACGGGTTTGGCTTTCTTGACAATCCTCTTAGCCTTCGGACTCCTAGCCTTCGGAGCGGCAGATCTCGTCCCAGTACCTTTTTTCGCTTTCTTCGCCCGTTTCGCCTCTTCCTTGTCCTCAAACTCACGCACAAGCCGGGGCTCAGCCAGCTGCATCATGCTCGCCGGTATCCACAGCAAGATCTCCTTCTGCTCTTGCGCGCGTCTCTGCTCAGGTGTGATCACATCTACGTCGTCTGCATCTGCCTCGTTCCCTGATTCAGTCATGCCGGCCCACGGGTCGACATCGAGCGGTCGGCGCGTGTTCTTGATTCCAGACTCGGCCAGTCGTACGAGCTGGCCCGGTCGAACCTCCACTCGATACTCTAAGATCCCGTCTGTCGAAGCATGGTTACGCGCGCGGGTGATCTTGGACATGAGCTGCTCGTCGTCGTCAGCGTCACTGTCGTCTGAGTCAATATTCATCGACGAGAAATGCCTGGTGATCAATTTGGACGGCGTTCCTTCCACGGGCGGTTTTGCATTCTTCCTTGGTGTCGTCGGCGCAGCGAGCCTTTTCTCCTCGAGATCCAAAACAGCTCTTCGCAGGATGCGCATGACAGCGCCGTGCCAGATGACCGTTTTGAAGCGCTTGACTATGGCGTCGCGGTACCCCCATTCGAAGTAGAACTCGCAAGTGGCCGCGAGCTTTCCTAGGTCTGGCTCCTTCCGCCACGTGAGATCGAGATTGTCACTGGCTCGCCCCATAGATTCAGACGTCAACGGGTTGACGTAGGACAAGAGAATATCGATATCCGGAAACGCGTCGGGTATCTGGCTCGCTAGCTTTTTCCGCTTCGAGCCCAAGAAACCTTGAGAGTCTGTCGCAAGCTCGTGCCGCATTTGATTCCTCCAGTTAGCAAGGAACGCAGGAAGGTTCTCGCGCGAGAGATTCTTCGCAGCATCGTATAGGGACCGGCCAAACCCATACTTGACGAGTCCCCGCGCGATACCTGGCCCACATCCAGTCATCCCGCTCGTGTCATAGTCTCCGCCACTGCACAGCCCGATAAGGATCATGTCCCCCCGCGTCAAGCCCGTTTTGTCCGTGATATCCTCAATGCGGAAGACGCGCGAATGGTTCTTGTCGTCCCGGCCATCTGAGTTGAGAACCGGGTTTGAACGATTTCCAGAGAGATTATTGCTGGAGCTGATGATGCTTGTTGGTGCGAGTAGGGATGGCAGATATACTGGATGGGACGCACTTGCGTATGACGGTAGTGGCACCGAACAAGAAGTTGTCGACGTCATCTGAAAGGATGCCGTCTATCACACCGATGCGGTTGAGGTATGCCAATTCGGCCTCGGCTTCTCCAGGCGCCTGTGAGACCAATCAGTTTGTGGAAGAGCTCAAGGCTCGATCACGCACCACCCGCCACTCATACCCAAACGACTCGACGATCTCCTTCATCCCCGTCGTAAGCTTATGACTCTGTCGATTGATACTCTTTCCTCTCTTCTGCCCAGGGCGCAGTGGTCCGTCGAATACGAACAGCGGGAGGAATGGCGCATGCATGAGCGTGGCGCAGCGGAAGAACATAGTCCGGAGTTCCGGGTTCTCTCCCTCCTTCCCATACGCAGCGTGGAAGAACCAGATACTGGCGTCTATCCCAATTCTGAATCCGCGCAATCCGTTGGAGTTGTTCTCGAAGCCTTCGACCACAGCTACTTCCGTCAGGGAGCGCACTTTTCCTGCAGGCTCAAGTTCCTTGGGACGATCATTCAGAAAATGCAAACAACAGTAGCGGATTTATATTTTCTACCTTCCATAGACCCGGCACACCCATTTTCGATCGAGCACTGAAAGGACGGAGAGGAACGAGACTGGATCGACTACCGTTCCAAGAGCGAGCCCGTGACGGTCACATACGTGTTCACTTACCACACGTGATGTGACGCTGCGCGCACGCGTTCTGATTAGTTGCACTGCCAAGGAGTGATTACCAGCCATCTTCCTTTCCATCCAAAAGCGTGGCGATGATCGTGATGTCCTACTATCATTAGCTTCAACCCCTGAAATGTGATTGCAGACTGATGGATAGTTGGATAGTACCAGTTGGATAGATGAGAAGAGACAATTTTCATGTGGCCGTTCGAAGCATGGCATTCGACGACGTAACTTTGCCATCGAGATGACTATCAGCACTTTCACGCCCGTGCTCTAAGTCGCATTTCATTATGTCCGTTTCTGGTGACAACAGTGCTATAGTAGCGAATGAGGTGGCTCGAGACTTGTCCGGAAGCTTCCGAATCCAACGGTGCGACTGCATCGAGCAACTGCAGACTTTCTCGCGGCCATCGGTGCATCACGGCGAAACCCGCCCTTTCAGAAGCTGAGCCGAACAAGATATTCGTCAGGACTGTCCAGTAAGTCAGCGTACGAACTTGTCAAGGAGGCACCTCATCATCGTCGCGGCTGTCAAAGCTAAGCTCGCGTTGGGCTACAGTTCTCATTGCTGTCACATGGACACTTCCATACAGAATCGGGACTCTGGATCGGAGTAAGATCGATGATCGCTATCTCTCGAAATCCCATATATTGCGGATGGTCCACACCTGCATCAACATCCAGCTTCCCTCTCGCCATGGCAGTCGACATATCGCACAGTGTGAATCCTGACCAGGCGACGTTCCTTGGGTTTGGACTGGAAGGCATATTCTACGGTACGCTATCTTTGGTCATCACCACTGGCCGTTGATTCAGATATTTCCGTCTCAGGAATCCACATTCTTTTGTTCGGCGTCGCAACTGTTCTCTTTTCGTCTCGAGGGGCATTGAAGCATCAGAGTGCCCGGCCGATTCTCATCGCGACTTGGATCCTGTTTGCGCTGTGCACTCTGCACTTTTCCCTGAACTTCCAGAATGTCTACGTATCTACCGTGAGCGTTGGATGCCATATGGGGGTGAGCGGGCATCTGATCCTGCGCCGTAGATGGTCAATTTCCGCCCACATGTTTCGGCAGAAACACCCCGGCTGGTCGGTATGTGCTGTTCAATCTCCGTGCAGGAACGAATTGAACTAAGAAAATCCCAGCTGCGGACGCATCGTTCATTCTGGCTGATTTCTTTGGACAACTTGTCTTGGTGAGAATTTTGATTGATGAGAGATCCAACAAAACTGACGGTTGGTTTCCAAGATCTATCGTTGCTATCTTGTCTGGGCCAACAACATCTGGGTTGTCATTCTCCCCTTTTTGATCGCCTTGGGCTCTGTCTGTGAGCCGAAAATCATCAATTTCACGCGAGCAATACTAATCTAATCAACTAGCGTGTGGAATGGCAGTGACGGGGATAGTTCAGAGTCTCAGTCCAACAGCGACGCAGGTTCCCACCGCACTCGTCCCCATGGGCGATGCGACGTTTTCGCTGTCCATTATCTGCAATTTCATCACCACAGGTCTGATTGTGGGACGCCTGTGGTGGATGACCCGGGGGATGGACTCAAACATCGGCGGAAAGGCGCAGACCCTCGCCCAAAAAGCGTCCGGCATCATCGTCGAGTCGGGCATGCTGTTCTTCCTCACGCAATTTGTTTTCATCGTCCTGTTCGCCATTGCGCATCCGGCTCAGGCGATCATGGAACCTATAGCAATCCAAGTTTATGTCAGTGATTGTTCCTTGCCTTACGGGATGCCGTTGTTCTGACCGTGTTGGGTTATAGGGCATCTGTCCGCTGCTGATCGTGGTCAGAGTCGGCCTCGGAATGTCATATGAGCAGACCATAGCTACCTCCACTCGAGGGCATACTTCTGGCAGGATCGAAACGAGCTCCGAGATTGATTTCACAGGCGGCAAGCTTCGTGGTCAATCACGAACGAAAGTCAATACTGCCAATACCGACACCGACTACGAAATGAGCCATTCGTTCTCAAAGAGGAGTCTTAACAGTGGCACCGAGACTGCTTGAGACGCTCTCCGCTCATCCGATTTATTCAGTATTTCCTTGGGAGTCCACTAATATATATATGTGCTAGCCTCACATTGTAAATGTAACTCGATGGAACCAATACTCTTGGAAGCGTTCAATTAGTCTGCTTTGGTAGACCGGGGATTTGTGTTGTGAGTAATCAGGTCAACGTTATATATTTACAGCGGCTAAATGTGGGGGGAAACGCACAGAGTACATTATTATCACAACAAGAGCCTACGGATTTAGGCATCCTTGTCCCGTGCCCTCCTAATCTCCTCCAAGATACTCGTCACACCGTTGACGTCACCGATACTCGCCTTCCCCGCCTTCCAGTCAACGACGACAGGCCACTTGAGCGCATCAGGTACGTCTCGTCCGAGTTTGGACACTTCGGACAAGTCGGCATGAGTGGATGACGTCGATGACGGATGAGCGGAGAGGAACACGGAGGCGGCGGGCACGTCGGTTTTGGTGGGGAGGAACGAAAGGATCGTCTTGAGTTGATCGGAGGTCGGTGCGCCCTCAACGATGTCGAGTTTGAATTCGAGCGGTTTGGAAGAGGTACCAGGAGGATAAGGTGCGGACAGCGCGGAGCGGAGGAGGGTGAGGGCCTGAGGCATGCATATCAGCAATGTTGCTTGCTTGCTAGTTTCCTTGCCTTGTTGGAGGGCGGAGACTTTGCGTTGTGACTGCACGGCCATGATCGCTTCAGCACCTCAATCTGTCGGGCTTTCGAATCACCTACAAAATCGAGATCTCTGGCTGTACGAAAGTCAATAGTTGAGTGGAGAGTAGGCGCAGTGCGTACAATAATGCGTGTCCAGCCACCAAACATGTCTGGCGATGTAAGTAGCAGCAAAAGAGAGGAAGTGGCGACTCGAATGGCGAGCCTTCTGCTGTCAGAGCCCGCCGATCAAGGCCGAACACGTGCCGCATCACTTACTTCGCTTCTGCCCAACTGCCGGCCTCTAAAGATGTCGAAAGCACTCGAAGAAAAAAACCCGCGCGGCATCCCGCGCGCCCCATTCATCGTACTTATGTTCCTCAGCTTGATCAACACTCCATGACGCACCTTCCCAGGCCGATGTTGAACAGCACATCGGTGGCCCCGATGGCGAGGTCGAGGGCCCACTCAAATCCTTCCAAGATGCCCTTGCGTACGCATCGTGCCTATGTGACCAGTTCGACACGTCTACTGACGCCTGCGCTTTCGAAAGGACAGCAAGTACCGATTCATGGACGGCAACCTGACACAGCGCAAAGCCGGACTGGAGGAGAAGATCCCTGATATCAAGAAAACACTGCTGATGGTGGAGTATCTGCATGAGCGGAGGGTGCGCTGTTCCACATGAATGTCACTGGATTCCACTGACATAGAGACAGGAAGGAAAGTCGAAAGCGACCGATGACGAAGGCGAAGACGATCTTGACGCAGACGACGATGATCTCGAAGAAGGCAGTACCCAAAAGCCTTTGACGACAACTTTCGAGCTCAACGACACGCTTTTCGCGGAGGCAGAGCTGGAGGATACTGATACCGTCTTTCTGTGGCTAGGAGTACGTTCCTTTGCTAGATCTCGCGGCGCAATTGCAACTGATGCATCTCAGGCAAACGTTATGCTCTCATACAAGATACTCGACGCAATCTCGCTGCTCCAATCTAAACTACAAGTCGCGGAGCAAAGTCTGCAGAACACGATAGAAGATCTTGAGTTTCTGCGGGAGCAGATAACAGTGATGGAGGTGAACACGGCCCGGCTATATAATTGGGATGTGAAACGAAGACGAGAGAGGCGAGAACGTGAGCAAGCGACCGGGAAGACGATCAAAGCAGAGGGTGGCTGAAAGTGGATGTAACAGTATGTACTTTGCAAAGCTCTATCACCGAACCGCCTGCCAGAGGCGTTCAGCCACAGTATCCATGTCTTTTAGCCACAGGCTTTCTCCAGCCTTGGCAGCATGTAAAGCGAATGGCTTCCCTACATCGCCTCCTTGACTTACTCCAGGCTCAAGGGGAAGTTCTGCGAGAACGTCCACCCCCAGCCGGCTGGCAGTGGACCGGAATAGGTCTGGAGAGCCGTACAGGTAATGCTTGTCCTCGCAGCTGGGGCATTTGAAGTATGATTGATTCAGCACAATGCCCGTGATCTGATGAGAAGTTGAATGAAAGCTACCCAAACAGGGACCAGGACGCACCGGGACTGCAACCTTGCGCAACATCGCTATGCCCTTGCGTACATCCGCCAGTGCCACATCTTGGGGCGTTGACACGATGACTGAACCTGAATCCGGAATTAGTCCCAAGGATGAGTAGTACCACGCATATGCCGTACCATCGACATGAACCAGTTGGCCAAGAGTCAGAGGCACATCTCCGGTACCTGGAGGCATGTCTATGACGAGAACATCAAGGCCAAGACCAAGCCCATCGGCGGCGTTCCAGTCGACGTCGAACAACAGCTGTTGCACGGCTTTTTGCACCATGAGCCCTCGCCAGACGACAGGCGTATCGTCTGTAGAGGCAGAGTCGGCAGACCGAGGCAGCAGAAAGCCCATGGACATTGTGGGAATTCCATGATTGACCAGAGGGACAATCGCTCCGCCTGTGCCGAAGCAGCCGTCGATTAGTTGGGTAGTTGGAACCAGATCGAGAATCATGCACAAACCATTTGTGAGCAATGGCTCCTCAGCTTTCTTGAGGCCCAGAAGCGTCGGGATAGAAGGCCCGAATATATCCAAATCCAACACGCCAACACGCAGACGAGCGCCAGAATCGCTTGGGCGGAGGGAAGACAGCGCAAACGCCAGGTTGACTTGCGTGGATTGGTCAGCCTGGCAATGAGCGGAACATTATTTGGCAGCAGTACCGGCTATTGTGCTCTTTCCTACGCCGCCCTTTCCACTAGCAACGGCCACGACGCGTTTGACGTTGGGAATACGACGTTTTGTATGGCTCCTGCTCGGCGAGGCATCTGAGGCGGAGGAAGCGCCCCGCTCCGTGGAAGGCCCTGGAACATTTAAAGAGAGGGAACGGTCATGATTAAATAGTAGCTACCAGTGGGTTTTCATGCCATCGGGAGGCAGACGAGAAGAATGAACGCGTTTGAAGCAGACGCGTCCAACAGGGCGTCATGGTGTCACTGTCACCATCTTGTCACGCGATTTACTCTTGCGTCGTGAACCACGTTGGCGACAAAACTTACTTGAGCATCCGCTCTCTCGCTCAAACTATGGCTCGTGCACATCGTATCGGCCTCCTTTCCGCACTGTTTGTCTCTCTGTGGACGCTTGTCTTCTTCGAGTTCTTTTCTGTTCCGTTACTGGATGACGGTGCCTTGAAGCAAGTTTGGCCATTGGTGCGCGAGACGGAAACATAGTGCAGCTCGTTTCTGATTACATTTGTAGCTTCCGTGGTGGTCTCTAGTGTCTTTCGGCTCATATTCGCTCGCATCATTGGGATGGGGATTGTTTTCGTTCCGAGACTGTCCTGAGGCATATCAGGAGCTTATGAGCGTGCGTTCATCGTACCATACATATTGGCCCAACTTAACCTGCTTCTTAGGAGATATCGCTAGCGAAAGATGATCTGAGAAGGAAGGGTGTCTCTGTCGATTGATGCGAATGTACACTACACTGACGGACGGGTACTTCCACTCGCTTCTTCGATTTTGCCTTGCAAACGTGCTCAGCGAATATCGTTTGAGTGGTGCAAACGAAAGAGTGAAAGGGCAGGGGAAAGGTATAGTAGTTGAATGTCAGTTCGCTATGTGGCTGGAGGTTCCTGCTGTGGAGTGCGCGAGTCGTGTCTGATCTGCCGTCGATGAGTGCCAGCAGCTTGGGACGACATATGCGAAGCGTTCATATTCGCCGTGGAATTGTTTGTGATATTGATTGGGGTTCGAGGGGCCATGAGCATACTCGGTGGGATGGGTACTTCAGCAATGAGATGGTTTGCAGATGCGCTGGAGCGCTGAGTGAGACAGGACAGAATATCACCCGAGAACGGCGGCGCACCCGAAAAAACCGTTCAACAGACCATCCAGTGCTTGATCCTTCCTTGCTCTCAGTCGCGAGAGTTCAGACTTGGCCATCTGCAGTTCATTCTCGAGCAGTGCACGTTGTTCCATAGCATATTGATGCTTTGCTTTCATGATAAGATACATCGCTTTTGCAGGCGAGCAACCTAGCACTAGGTCGACGCTAGGAAGATATCGCGAGCGCAACAAGGGTGGAAGGTTCTCCCCAGAGGTAATATCCACATCATCGTCCTCTAACACTGTCGAGGACATCCATGATGGAGGGTGAGGTAGACCAGGCGACCCTGCTAGCAGATCAGTCCTCAGCGCTTCGAGCGAAGTAACCCGAGGCAGTGGAGTAGTAGGCCTAGGGGCACTCGATTCGCGAGTCAGCACTGGCGGGGTATCAATGTCGTCGGGCGTTGGAACGATCGGTTCTCCTTGAGGAATAGGTGTCCCAGGAGGTGGGGTCTCATTTTGGGTTTCCTCATCGTCTGCAGCACCCCGTTTTCGTTTTCGTGGCCGGGGACGGTTTTGCCCTGCAGGGGGTGGCGAGATATCGTGTTGCTGGCGCATGTGCTTGGCTAGCGCGTCAGAGCGAGTGAAGGAGCTATCGCATTCTTCCCGTAGGTGAGACAGGGCATATGCAGAGTCATGGCGTGAACATTCACCTGGATGCGTGCACATGAATGGTCTCTCGCCTGTGTGCTTCCGAATGTGAGCTATCAGCGCAAAGCGAGATGTTTGAGACAGCCCTCGACGGAGACAGGTTGCCCATTCACAGGTATACTTGTGCTTGTTCATACCGATGTGGACTAGACGCTGTCAGCAACGGTGTCAGACGTATATACAAGATTAGGACCTACCAGAGTGGATGTGTGCAATAAGCGTGGACAATGTGTCAAAAAGCATCCCACAATTGTTCCATAAACAGGTAACCGTCTCGTTTTCGCGAATTATTTGGAACTGGCCGGTCATGCGAGGTGAGCCAGGCCGGGAGTCCGCCGAAGAGTCGCCGTCGTCTTCAGTGGCCACGGCGGCAGCGACACTTGAATAGTCTGAGGAGATGGAGCGAGCACGGGTGATGTCGGGGACTACCTCAGGCTCTGAGGGCGGTTCTGGAGCACCTCCAGATGCCAAAAGAACTGGATCAATAGGTGGGGAGGCGGACATGGGTGCACGTCGTAAGTTTAGGATAATCAGATCGCCATCAACCATCACGCCGCCCTCAGGTGCATGACAGCGCAAATCACTATTACCTCGAACATCCCCCAAAAGTGCCTATTTAGGTAGATCTTTCCCATTTAAAAAGGACCTGGTAGTTATCAGGGGCTAGAGGCTGTGGAAAGCACCAGGGAAAGCACCAGTACAACAGATTATAATTGATTGGATGGTTTTTGATTGCCCAGAGTCCTTCCTCCTTGACACTGGTTTAGTTGCAAGTCCTATGATACAGTATTCAGCCTATCCCATTTACTGTGGGTCAATAATGCTTGGCATGATATAATACACAAAGTATTGAGTCTTTGTGTACTTTGCAGTGGCTCAGCAGTAGTATTGAGGTTGTGTAAGTAGTGAAATGGACACTCTACAGCAGTGATTCATTCCTGTGATATGTTTGATTAGCCAATCAAAGTAAACAAAAACGGCTACTCCAAGCAATCAGAAACGGCTCAATCTGGTCTATTGGTTGTAGTGTAATCTCATCCATTTGCCGCAAACATCGCATGAAGATTCTCTATTGGTTGCAAGGGCAACTCCTGGTGCGGCGTCCTCTGACATTAACTGCGCACATCAACATTGGTTTTATCTACCTCGTCCACTCTCCGCACAGCACAGCACCAGTCACAACTGAGCAAGGAGCAAAATTACCCATCAACATCGACAAGATGCCGGGGAATACTACTTGCAAGTTTATCCATACAACAACTCATTCATGCCCAATCCGCTAATAGTGCTGGTAATACATATGCAATACAAGAAAAACAAACATCGGCAAATGAATGTGGTCTCCAAATCAAAATTGGGCAGTGAAATCCCGGAAAGGCTCGTCGCCAACCTCTCTCCCGGGTAAATTCTGGTCATGATATCGTCTGATCGTCTGCAGCCTGGACTGCCAATTCGTAACGACCTCCGTGCGTACGGTGTCGCTCTCCGTGTGCGCGTACACGCTCGCGAACCAGTCCGCCAATAAGCTCAGTTGCCTGATCAGCAGCGGGAGACTCTTGGACGAGATCAGCTTGAAACATCCAACAGGCGCAAAGTCAGCCATCTTCTCCGCGCGCTGGACTGTGACCTTGAAGTACTCGATTTCGTGCAGATTGTCCGAAAATGCTGCGATCGGCCCAAGCGAATGCGGCTCGATCACGATGTTGACAAACTGGAACTGGGTGGACAGCGTGTCGAAGCGGTAGGGGATACCCGAGTCGTTCCAGACAATGCGCACATAGTCGTTCCCGATGTTGCGCTTCTTGTTGATGAGCTGCGGATCGTCCTGATTCGTTGGCATCATCGTCGCTGCGTGGTAGAGGATCTGCCCGATGTCGTCCCACCACGCGTACGCATAGTCTCCGTCCAGCCCAGGTTCCAGCCCGCCGACATACACATCCACCTGCCCGCGGAGATCGATCAGTCGGCCGATGCCCTCGAGGAATCTGGTGTAAGCGGGGGATCCGTGTGTGTTGGCCAGGATCTCGAGCTCGTTGGTTTGCCCCGGCGCGACGTATAAGATGCCCACTTTGTGCGTGTCAATCACGGGTAAGCGGTCCAGCGCGGAGCAGAGCGACCGCAGTTTCTTGTCGTCGTTGAGCAGATGCCGGTCTGATTTGCTGCCGTCCGACATTTGCAAGATGAAGAACGATGGATCAATTTCCACCGCCTTTCGACGCTGAGACGGGGCCGTGCCACTCCAGACGTAGCCTGTGATTGAATCGGGTTTGGGTGTGAGATCATCGCCTTGGACCCCAGGTTCGCCGGGCGGTAGCTTCGTTTGGTTGATGAGAGCTTGTAACGGACGAGAGAGGCAGACTCACCTGACCCTCTCGCTCCATGACCAATGCAGCCGGCACAGACACCAAATCTGGATCCACATCGCCAGGCCCAACCAGCGGCGAATTCTCCAGTCGACAGAGCATCTTGGTGAATCCAGAGGGCCGCCGGGACAGGACTTCGAACCAGCCTCGACGCTTCAGAGTTCTGACAGTCACGATTGAGTTGCCCATCGCCCAGGTTTTCTCTTGGATCGCTTCTTCCGCAGGTTCACTCGGATTCATGACGATCTCGCTCAGAACAGACGCCGCGGGCCGCGGATCAGCGCTGGCATACGTGTAGCGCTCGAGCCAGTCGCAGCACACGATCGTCGAGTCGTCCGGCCCTGAGTTGTCTTCATTCGCGAGCTCGAGCTGCCGCAGGATATACGTGATGTGCTTGGGCCGGTCGGGAAGCTTGATGGCCAGGAACCACACGTACACATTGTAGTACGACAGGATGCGGACGTACTCCGAAAGCGTCCACGACACCGACTGGTCATCCCGGTTGCGATTCTGATGCTGCAGGTACTGCAATGCCACACCAAACACCAGCCGGAAGTCGTGCTCGATGAAGTTCGCGTACAGTCGCGGCTGCGAGCTGATGATCACAAGGAACGCGAGGATGTGCACCGCCATGTTCGCGTTCGACATGATCTGGGAGAGCTTCTCGAGGATCGGGCTCATGAACTTGGCCATCGAGGTCGGTAGCTCGAATGCTGCTAGCGATAGCGCATGCAAGCAGCATTGGATAGTAACAGGCTGCCCGTCCAGACCATTCTGGAACACAGACACGAGCAAATGCTGTTGATGGGGGTCGAAGCACGGCTGATACCCGATAAGCACAGACAACGTGTGATATGCCAGACTCTGAGCATCCCGTGCCTTCAGTCCACTCGGCCAAACAGGAATCTGCGCTGCCAGCGACTCAGTCAAGACACCAGAACACAGCAGATTCAGCAATTTCGAGCATGCTGCCCGACTCTTGGGCCACAGAACAGATGTTTGTTGCCCAGTTGGTTCGGAAGGTGGCACAGAACGTACGCGAGGATCTCCCAGCTTTCTTCTCTCTCCAGGATCTCGTGAATCGCAACCAGATAAATTGAGATCGGCAGCACAATCTTCTCCGGAGCCTGGGGATCGTAGAGGGACAGTCTCTCGCTTGGCTTGTCTTGATCTGCAACAGTGAACGGCAGCTGCGATTCCGGAAGCGACCAGAGCGGATCCCTCAGCTTGAGTGTGGGTGTAGCTGGTTGTGGACCAGCACGAGACCGACTGCGACTCGTCCCGGAGCCGGACCCTACGGTCCTGCCACGGGTATAGCAGCACGCGGAACACGTGGCCGGGCTGGACTGCTCAGCTGCTGCAGAGAGTCGGAGTCGTGCCTCTCGCACTAGATCGTGGATGAGCGAGCCGAGCATAGCAGCCA